TCCGGCAGCGTCTTTCATGGCAACTGCCATCGATGTGTCTGGATCCTTCCCCATGCGCCCGTCGCAAACTAAATCTGCTATTTGGCCAGAGAATGCAGCGCTCGAGCCACCCGCCAACCTGCTGCCAGACAGCGCCTGCATGTCGGGCTTCCCCCCTCGCTCCCGGGCGGTTTTCTCAGCGCGCGGGCGCGCGCGGCAGACGGGCAGGATGCGGCGCAACGCAGCGGGCCGCACCCTTGACTGCGAATATCGCTGACAGACGGCCGCCGGCCCACAGGACCAAGTAGGGCGCATATTTGGCCAGAATGTTCCGGGCGATGCGGATCGGCGGGCGTCGAACCGATGTTACGGCGCACCATTTGCGCCTCCGGCGGGCGGTCGAAGAACGCGCTGCCGACCAGTGGCTCGCGTGCGCCGCGCAGCTCGAGCAGCGGACCGCGGTTGATATCTGGGTCATGATGCGCAGACGGGCAGCCGAAAACACGCGGCCCAATGCATGGTAAATCGCGCGGGGGCTGCCTGCGCAGCCTCGCATTGGAATCCCCGCGAAACACTGGCCCTCCTTGCCCGGAGATGTCTCGGAGAAGGGCGCCGAGAGACTGGTGGAGTTCTCGTCTGGCCTCGCGCGGTTTGCCGCTGCGCGGGGCGCAACTGCTGAAAATCGGCGCCGCGCCGCTGAAAACGCGCAGCTTTACCGCGAGCGCCCTCCGCGGCGCTTTTCGGAATCCGATGATGCTTGCACGTGTCTGCGGAGATCTGAGAAAACCAACCCCCGCCGTCGCCTGGTCGGCCGCGTCTTCAGAGAGCGCCAAAAGGCAATCGGAGTCAGTGACCCCATGCGTCGACTCTGGCGCGTGAGTCTCCTGGAGTGCGAGAGCATCGGTGTTAAACGCCCGCGCGTGCTGTTGAAATTATTCGATCGTCTTGAATTCTGCCAGCCCCACCCGCGTTCCGCGATCCAAGCGCGACGTCTTTCCTGCAGGGGCGCAACGGCCCAGCGCGGTAATCGAAATCCTCCGCGCGGCTGCTGTCGCGGCCACCCGCGCCCCCGATGTGCATCCATGCTGTCGTGCATGAAGTTCTGGCTCGAGCGATTGCATGGGTCGGCCCCCCCCTGCCCCCCCCCCCCCACCCCGCATATGAGCCAAGTCCATGGATGGCGCCGCTTTGCTGGCGGCAGCCGTTCGTGCAGCAGCCCGAGCGAATGCGCCCCGTCGAACGGCGCGAGCGGTTGCGGCGGCGGCGGCCGGCGCCCTGGCGCGCCCTGCTGCCGCTGCGAGGCCTCGCTCCGACGACTTGCCGCGCGCCCCGGATGCGCGGGGCCCAAGCGCAGGCGCCGACGGCCCCGCCCAATTGGCAGAGGCGCTGCGCGCGGCAAGACGCGCTCAACGTCGGGGGAAAAAGGCGCGACGCGTGGCTGTCGAGCGAGCGCCTGCCGACGCCGCGACGCCGCGCGATGCCCTGGCCGCCGAGGCGGGCGCGGGCGCATCCGATGGATGCGCGGCCGGCCAGCGCACTGGGCCCTGGGGAAGCCCAGCTGCAGAGCCCGCCCAGGCGCCACCAGGGCCCGCCGGTGATCCACCTGCGCCCGCTGGCCCTGCCTCTGCTAAACTGCAGATCCATGGCTTTGGAGCTGGCACACGGCCCTGGTGATCTGGCCACCGAGGTCCTTGGCGCTCTCCGCGCGGCTTCGCGGGCGACGCCGGCAGGGGTGGCACGTCACGCGCCGCGTTGCAACGCCGCCCCTGTCAAGGGTGGAAAGTCCGGCGGAATGCGAAAGTTTTAGCTCGCCGTTTCCACATTCGCACTGCAGCTCATGAGTCTCTGCGTCTTGGCCTGGTGGAGCCGTCGCCGACGACGCGTTTGCTCGGCTGCGCTTATGCAGCGTAAGTCTCGCGGGCAACATCGCGACCCCTCTTCCGAGTTCTCTTGGCCATTATCTGATATCTCACTTCCGAAAATCCCAGGCGCTTGCAGCCTCGGGCTCCGACGCAGAGCTTTACCGTGGCAAGCTCGCCCATCGCATCGCGCATCGACCTGGCGCTGCCCTTTCTGAGCCCAATGTAGCCTCGAGGCAGGCTTAGCCGAACCCACTTTATTTTTAGTGGCTGGGCAGCCCCCAATCCATCTTCCTCACTGAATGCCGTCGTGAATGCGATACCCATATGGGCTCGCAATGGCAGTATCGCCGGCTGCCGGCGCTGGTGAAATTTTCGAGGGGGGGCACTTCCTATTCCCATGGGACTCTCTACCCCCGGGCAGGGCCCGCCTCGGGGCCGCCCTTCGCTTGGGCCGCCATGCCAGCTGCCTCCCTGGATGCGATCCCGACGCGCTTCGTTCTCAGCAAGACGATCAGCGCGCGCTGGTGCAACTCGCCCCACGCAATCCAATCGCCCTTCCAGTCGTATTCAAACCCGGTATTCGTGATTTTCGCCGTGAGAACATGTCCCCCGCCCACTTTGACCACATGCGGAACATCGTCGGTGATCGAGATCGCGCGCGGCGCCTGCCTCTCCGTCTTCAAGATGCGCTCGAGGCCGCAGCAGAAGTTCCTGGCCGAGCGCTCAAGGGCGGTTCGGTCCTGATTGGGCCAGGCTCGCTTGCTTCCACTTCGTGGGCCAGCCCACATGAGGAGCTCCACAGCTCGGTCGCGATCAAGACAGCCTCCGAACTCGGCGAAGATGATTCCGGCGCAGCGCCCCTCGACGTACATCTGCGTCGGCAGCGGGGCCCCCAGCGACGGAAGCTTGTCGTTCAACCGCGCGGTCGCCCACTCGAGGTCCGAGAGGCCCTCCAAACTGCCATCGACTGCGGCGGCTGCCTTCTTATCCAAGCCTGCCTGCTCCTGCGGACGTACCGGCGCGCGTGGGGGAGCAAGCGAAGACCCTCTTCATGTAATCCACGATGCCCTCCCGGATCTTCATTTCCAGCACGTCCATGGCGGGGCGCCGCAGCGGGTCTTTGCACAAGCTCTCCAATTTCTCGACGCGGACACCGGCGACGGTCATGCGCTGCTCGGAGAACTCGAGGCGCTCGGAAGGGCTCGGATTCAAGTCGGTTGTGTTGCCGCCTATGCCCCGCACCTTTTTGCGTAGCTCGTACACTCCCGACGTCGCGGGCCGCAGTAGCGCCGCGATCCCTGCCATGGCCACCGCCTGGTCCTCGCCCATCCCTGCGCCCAAGTCCGGGTGCCTGAAAGGGCGGTCGCTCTACAGCTCCTGCTGCTGCCCCCCCCCGCCCCGCACGCGCTGGTAGCCGTCGTCCGCGGGGGGGGGGGGGGGTAGTAGCCGAAGCGACTCCACCTGGGCAAGTCGGGGAAGATGGGCCGCGACCAGTGCGGGCCGCTGTCTCGCTGGGTCCATTCATCTTCCCCCATGGGTCCATCTTCTCCCGCGTATCGCGCCTCATCAGCAGGTCCTTGACCGGCGTGCCAGCCGACTGGCCGCGGGTCGGAACAGGCAATCCGACGAGCCCCCTCTCCATATCCACGGCTGCGCTCACGACGGCAGAGACTGGGGCCGCGCTGGAAGCCTGCAAGCCCTTGAGCCAACGTGCTTGAACAAGTATAATGCTCAACGGGCGTTGTGTGATATTACATTCTGGTGTACTTTCAGCTGCCATTAAATTGGATCGCGTGTGCCGTATTTCAATTTACTCTGCCACATCTTACATATTCCTAAATGAAGCCGTGACAGCACGCTCAGAGGCGGCCAGGCGGGGTACAGGTTCTCATCGTCAAGTGGCGGGTGCAATTGGCCACCAACCTCAACGCTGGGGCATCGGCCTGGTTCCGTCAGCTTCAATGCAAGATCCTCCCACTACCGCAAAAGGGGTGCAGTTCAGTTGTCCGTTCCACGTCCAGCTGGGGCAAAACATCATTGATTACAAAGCTGGCATCTCGCATCCCTGCTTTGGGGGGGTTGCAATTTGTATTTGGTGGTGTGTTGCATTTGGTGTTTCATATTTGTGTGGTCCCTTTGTGGCACTGGGCGTAACAAAAGGCTGGCAAACTTTCCCGATGTGCTTGGCCATATGATTTCCTAAATACCGTGAATAGTGTCACGATCCACGTCCCCACGCTTTTGGGGCTTATTCCACTATCCGCGTTCTGTGCACATCGCTTGCTTGTGTCACTTCCTTGGGCCCCGCCGTAATGCCAGCGCACTCGCTCCGATGATTGCCAAAGCACTACGGTTTCGCATGGGGGCCAGTTGGTGCGTACGACGGGCGGGTGGCCATGTCCGCCGTGGCCGGTATTCGTGGGGCGCGATGTGCTCACCATTACCACGCTGCTGGGCACGTGCGGCGGAGGCCCTCTACAGGCGGCGCCCATGTCGCTCCCTCGGGTGTCGACCCGGCGGCCAGGCACGGGGGCCTCAAATTGTTCGCGTGAAAACGGGCATCGCTCTTCCTGCCGTCGCTCGGACGTCCTCTCCCCGCGCACCGTTTGGCGTCGCGCGTGTGCTCCAGGCTGGCCCAAGTGTTCCGGCCCTGCCCTCGCCGAGAAACAGATGCACACGTCGGCGCGATGCCAAGTATTCTCTTTCGCATGACTTCGTCAGTGGCCCCATTCCCATTCCCATTCCCAGTCCTCCTCCTCCTCCTCCTCCTCGCGCTCGCTCCTCCTCTTCTTTCTCCCCTACCTCCTGCTCTTGCACCTCCTCCTCCTTCTCCTCCTGCATCGCCCCTCGTTCCTCGCTTCTCGCTCCTCCTCCTCCTCCTGCTGCTCCTCCTCCTCCCCCTCCTCCTCCTCCTCCTCCTCCTCGCTCCTCCTCCTCCTCCATCGCTCCTCGCTCCACTTCCTCCTCCTCCTCCTCCTCCTCCGTGTCCTCCTCCTCCCCCTCTTCCTCCTACCCCTTCTCCCCCCTCCTGCCCCTCCTCCTCCTCTCCGCCTCCTCCTCCACATTTCTCCCCCTCCTCTTTCCTCGCTCTTCCCTCGCTTTCCCCTCTCGCTCCCCACCTGCCAAATCACACCACTGCGGACGAGACGGGGGGGCATCCTTGCCCCTGCGCAGCGAAGACTGGGGACTCGCTGACAAACAGCGGCCCCACCAAGCAGATCCGCCGCCCCCAACCGCTGGGGGATCCCAGGAGGATCCCAGGAAGAGCAGGGGGAAAGCAACAACAAAAACAACTGACGCTGGACCCAACCATGTGCAGGTGTAGCATCGCAGTTGTCGAAGTCGTTTTCGGAAGAGCTCCCTGTGGGGCCACGAAACGTGTGAAGGGTGTGCAAAAGCGGGTGCGGGTACGCCGTACAGACCCTGCCGCTGAGGTCTTCGGTGGAGCTCCCTATGGGGCCGCTAAACGTGTGAGGGGTGTGTCGAATCGGGCGCGGGTGCGCCATTCGGACGCTGCCGCTGAGGCCTGCGGTGGAGCTCCATTTGGGGCCACGAAATGTGCGAAGGGTGCGCCGAGTCGGGTGCGGGCATGCAATACGGACCCTGCCGTAATGGCCTTCGGTGGAGCTCCCTTATGAGGCCACGAAGCGTGTGAGGGGTGTGCAGAAGCGGGTGCGGGTACGCCATACGGATGCTACCGGTGTGGCCTTCGGTGGAGCTCCCTATGGGGCAACTGGAAATGTGGGGTGTGTGCCGGATCGGGTGAGGGAACGCCATGCGAAGGCTGCCGCCACCGCTGGAGTCTTCGGTGCAGCTGCCTTTTGAGCCACGACTCGTGTGAGCGGTGTCCTGAAATGGGTGGCGGGTAAGCCATGCGGACGCTCCCGCTGGAGCTTTCGGTGGAACTCCCTGTGGGGCCAAGAAACGAGGGGTAGACCGAATCGGGTGCGGGTACGCCATGCGGGCGCTGCGGATGGGGCCTTCGGTGGAGCTCCTATGGGGCCATGAACCGTGAGGGAAGGTCTGATTTGACTGGCGTGTGCGCCATGCGAGCTCTGTCGCTGAGACTTTCGGTGATCTCCCTGTCGGGCCACGAAACGTGCGAGAGGTGTGCAAAAGCGGGTGCGGGTACGCCATACGGACGCTGCCGCTGGGGCCTTCGGTGGAGCTTCCGATGGGGCCATGAAAAGTGTAATGGGTTCGCAGTGCTGGCACGCGGAAGGCAGAGGCAAATATGGGAGGAGGGAGGGGGGAAGGAGGAGGACGCGGGGCACTGTCTCTTCAAAACAGGCACCCAACAACACAGGATGGTTGGAAACACCAAGTGGCACGTGTGCCATGGCTCTTGCACAAAAAAAAGGGGAATGATGAGGACGACACGGAGGCGTAGGAGGAGGACCAGTGTAAGCCCAAGAGTCATCAACGATGTTGGAGTAAACCCTCCCTCCAAGCTCCCTCTTCATAGGCCCCTACAACGGTTCATTTCCATTGGTGGAACTGCCTCGTTGGAGGACACCCGTTTGAAGACCCTGGAGCATGCCAAAACATTGCTCTCGGGATTCCAACGACACGGATCAAACTGACTGTTGCGTCTTAACGATCCTGAATCATCCCAACCATTCCTAGGACGTCAGCAAAGAGAATCGATGTAACTGTTACACCGGCATAATCCGAAATCCTTGCAACACACCATTTCTGGTACGTTGATGATGGGATCTCATGAAACTCTTGAGAATGTTGAAAACACATGTGCGCGGCGCTAAAGCGAGAACCACATTTTGAAAAAGAGCCGTCCTCAACCCGTGAACTTCTTGTAACTGTTGAAAACGAATATGTAAGGCGCTGGGGCGAGACTCACATTTTGAAAACCACCCGCCCTCAATACGTGAAACTCTTGCAAAGGTTTGAAACGAATGTGCACTGCGCTAAACCGAGAGCCAGATCATTTTGAAAACGAGCCGCCCTGTATCCGTGAAGCTTTTGCATTTTTCAGAAGTAATGCGCGCGGCGCTAAGCCGAGAGCCACAATTTGAAAACCGTCCACCCACAATCCGTGAAACTCTCGCAAGTTGATTTAACGAATGTGCGCCGCGCTAAAGCGAAAGTCACATTTTGAAAACAACCCGCCCTACATCTGTGAAACTGTTGTCCATGTTTAAGCGTCAGAATCAAAAATGGTGAGAAAGTCTCAGGCGAAACGCCCAGCCCGCCCTAAAATCTGGCTTCGGTGTGCGACAGCGAGAAATTATTTATAAGGAGAATGAGATGGTGGGGGCGGAGGGGGGCGGAATGGACTGGGGTCGTGGGCGCGGGACGGTGGGGGCCGTGCGACGCCGAAATGAAGTGGTCGGGGCGGAGGGGGGCGGGGTGGGAACGGCACTAGACGTGGGGCGGTGCGACGCCGAAATAAAGTGATCGGGGAGGAGGTGGTCACGCTGGTGATGGTGGTGGTTGGCGTGGGTGGGCGGGTGGAGGGGACGGAGGGGCGGGGCGGCGGGGGCGGCGCAACGCCGAAATCATGCGGTCGGGGTGGCGGGGGGCGGGGTGGATAGGGCGCTGGACGGAGGGCGGTGCCACGTTGTTGGCGGTGGGGGTTGGTGTATAAAGTGCCGGGGTGGACAGGTTACTTGGCGGGGGGCGGTGTCACGCTGGTGGTGGTGGTGGTGGTTGGTGGCGTGTTCGGGGCGGAGGGGGGCTGGGTGGAGAGCACTGGGCGGGGGGGGCGGTGTCACGCTGGTGGTCGTGGTGGTGGTAGTGGCTGGCGTGGGCGGGTGGAGGGGCGGGGGGGCGGGGCGGGGGGTTGAAACATAAGAGAGACCGTTTGCAAGAGAACTAAACGTTTGTTGCACCCGTCTGCTATAAGATGGGAGGTTGAAGCATTTAGCAATCGAAAATAGATTGGGGTTCCGCCCACCCCCTGAATAGGACGGGCGAGGGAGAACCATGTGACACTTGAAGTAGGAAGGCATCTGCATACTTCTGTCGTTTGGGAATCCGCAAACACCTACTTCAACAGTCGATGGGCATCACCCCAAGGTGTTCAAATAGTCCCTTCATAAGCGGATGCATTTTCTTCACCCTCCTAGTTTTGGTCCCTTGCTTGCCGCGCTCGCGCGCCAGCCTGCGCGCGCTCGCGCGAATACTGCGGCCGCTCGTCGGCCCAAAGGGACCAGAAATTCGAAACGCGCCGTCATCGAACAAGTTGCTGAAATCGCGGATGCGCTAACTTTTTGGTGGCTTGTCGTTCTGGGCCTCCGGATGGGGATTGGAGGGGGGGCGGCTCGCGGCAACGGCGAGATGCGCCTCCAGATCCGTGTCAGAACGCACTCCTGGAGATGGTCGGGGGTCGCTTTGAGGGATGATGATGAGGAGGAGCGAGCGAGCGACCTCGGCAGCAGTTCGGCTTCGATGCGCGGGGCATGGGCCTTGGAAGATTGGGCGCCTGTCAGCGTCCTGCGTTGCTGCTGGTAATGATGATGATGATGAGGAGGAGGAGGGGCATATGAAACGACAGGACGACGACTCGGACCCTCGGCTCGACCTCCCTTGTCGGGCCCCGCGTCGTCTGCAACGTCGTCGCGCACCGGCCGGCCCACCGCGCCCCGCCACCGCCGAATCCACACTCTGCTCCTCCCCCGTCCAGTCGCAGTGTCTCAGTCGTTGCCGGCGTGTTGGTCGCTCCCCTCTTCCAGGGGAACAAATGACATAAGCATAAAAATTGTTCACGCCTTGTCCACAGAGTGCGCACGTGGTGTTCGGGATAGGTAGGTGGGTTCTTTGTGTTCCTGTTGCCATGAGAATGCAGCGCTGCAGTGAGTGTGTAGCGTGAGCAGAGCGATTTGTCACCGTCCGTATGCGTCCTTGGCTCAGAGTTTCGAGAGGGAGATCCCTCGACTGAAGCACGCTCAACCGGGCTAGGTGCACCCAAGACACATCTAGAGAGTTTGATATCGTAGAGAAGAATATTTGATTGCGTGTTAGTCGCTCCCCTCTTCTAGGGGAGCGAACAGTGACATAACCATAAAACCTGTTGATACTTCGCGTATCCCCACCAACCTATCCAGAAACGATGCCCAGGGGAGTTGAAAAGATCAGGGAAGCGGGAAGGGCGGGGCAAACCGTCATGTACTCCAAGAGAAGGATGGAGGAGCCTCGTGGGGGTCTCCTGGGAGCCTGTTGGAGGCCTCTTGGAGCCGTCTGGGCGCCTCTTGGGGCACTCTTGGAGCGCTCTTGGGAGTTTTAGGGGCGCTCTTCGGCCCATCTTGGGGCCCATCGATCAAACCAGAGGGGAGCTCCAATTAGCGCCCCCTCCTCGGGAGCCTCTAAAATAACCTCTTGGGGCGCTCTTGGGGCGCTCTTGAGCGCTTTTGGGCGCTCTTGGGGCCATTTTGGGGTTCTCTTGGGCCTCTCTTGGGGTCCTGTTGGCCCATCTTGGAACCATCTTAAAGCCTCGGATGGTCATCAGAAGCGAAAAGGCGAGAAAGCGAAACAACATGATTTTCCTTTACTTTTGGATAAGTGATGGCCTCTTTGGGGCTTCCTCGGGGAGCTCTTTGGCCACTTGGAGCCGTCTTGGAACTTGTTTGGGGCATCTTGGAACATGTTGGAAACCATCTTGAGGAATCTTGCGCTGCCTTGATCCATCGTGGAGGCCATCTTGGGCTCTCTGAGGCCCTCTTGGAGCCATCTTGGGCCATACTGGACGTCCCGACCGCTCGCGAACCCCCCCGTCAAGGTCCAAGGGAGGGGTTAAGGGGGAGGGGTCAAGACAGCCTGTCCGCACGCAAGCCGTCTAGCTCACTCCCATCCGCCCTCCCACCACATAAGTGGCATCCGAGTCTCGGCATAGCCAGGGGTCGCCACTGGATGGACAGCCACTGGTAACCAAAGCGGACGCCAGGTGCGCGACGCTCGCCGCGGGCTCCACATGCGGTTGGTGTGCCATCCTTGTACAGATCGTGATGCCCCCCTGTCCGCATGGTCCAGATGCTGATGTTGGAGGCGTCAACATTGTTCCGGGCCTGCGCACAGAAAGCATCATCATGCGGGCACCACCGCCATCCCTGTCAAAATAATACGAAATGATCGCGGGTGGCCAGCACGATACCCACGACGTTGTCGCAACGTGCACTTTGCATTGCTTTTGAGACGGATGGTGGTCCTGCGCAGAGCGGCCTCACTAAGGGTACCCCGCCACCGTTATCAAAAAGCAATACAACGTGCTCACAGGGCACCA